ACGTTCCCAGGACGCAAGCTGGAAGCAGTCACAAGGCAAGTGAGCGCAAAATTCAAAACTAGAGCTTATAGACGAAACCTCGGGATAATTTCAGGCGGTTTAAACGATGTCTTAAATGAAGATACGGCAGGAATAGCGACCACACTGGCGAAAGGGGTCGATGGCATGCGCGCCACTCCTCCTCAGGTACAGGTAGTGATATGCACGATACCGGAGGGACCGGTGCGTGACGGCAACCTGCCAAGAGCGGTTGTCAACGCAAACCAAGAGATATAGCGGATGAGTGGAGAGAAAGGCTTTGAGGTGGTGGAAATAAACAGAGAGGTGCATAGGTGGGGTGGTTTTCAACAAGACAGAATTCAGTTCGATTAGCAGCTGGGTCATGAGGTGGGTTGGCGACTTGCAGGACGCGCACTAGCTTTTCGAGAAGGCACGCGGGCGCTTCGGGGTGCAGGATACCAGTAACGAGGAAAACAACCGGGGAGACTCTTTGACAGGTGTTATGGAAAGTTATGATCCGAAAGTGGCACCAGTATCTAAGATAGGTAGAGTCCGGGGCAGAAATAGACGTAGCCACGAGCACCGAGCCAATTCAGACATAGGGTATATTAACATGCAGGGTGGCAGGAACAGGCTGAAGTGGGAAGAGATAGAATAACTGCTTAGAGTGGAGAGGCCGATGGTATGCGGTTTTGCTAAACACATCTTAGGGACATGGAACAACCTCCTAACAATCCGGACTACGCGTGGGAATGTTGTAATAGAACAGAAGGCAGCAGAAAGGGGGGTGGTATTGGGGCATTCATTCATTAAAGTACAGGCTGGCAAAGGGTCAAGCAGGAGTGCAAGGAACATTTATGGCTAAAAGAGAAAGTGGCAGGGCAAATTACACTGCTTGGTTTGGTGTACTTGTAGATGGGAGCAAAGGCCAGAGAGAAAAACCAAGCAATGGTAGAGTGTATATCAAAGGACATTGAGGAGTTCAGAAGATAGTACGAGATAATTATACTAGAAGATATGAATGCGCACCTACGAGATATAGATGGTTATACCGACCCAACAGGCAAACTGATCATTGATATGTGTGAAAGACATAATTTGAGTATTTGCAACAGTACCGAGAAGTTTGAAGGGCAAATAACATGGGAGGTAGGAAGGCTGCAGTCGACAATAGATTACGTGCTGATGTCACATAGGATGTATCATAGGCTCAGGGAATGCACATAGACGAAAGTGGCTCCAGAGGTCGGGGTAGTGATCACAAACGTATCAAGCTGAGTTTTGGAAGAGCAGTGAAAGTGGGAAGGAGACAATATGAGCAACTACACAAATTTTTTTATTCAGAAAGCCAAATATAAATAGCTACTAAATAAATTGAGAAAGTAATCACTGAATATGATAAAAGAAAAGTGGACATACACAAATCTATTTAGACTGTTTGAGCTGGAGCTTGCTAGGGCACGTGACAAGTCACCCCAGAAAAGAAGACACAAACCCAAGAGTTTGTGGGGTGGCGAATTTAGGAGAGCCATAGCGAAACGTCACGAAGCCTCTAGGTAACACAGACATGCTAAGCAGCGGGGTGAACCGACGCATGATGTAGAAAGAAAATGGGAAATTTTTCTAAGCTTTAGAAGAGATGCATTCTTTCTAATCAATGAAAAGATTTGAAGAAAGGGAGCTCAGTGGCTGGCAGAAGTACATAGAAAATATAGAAAGGTAGCTGCAAAAGTTTGGAACCATCTAATCTCCCTGAGAAATGAGACAAACCTAGAGCAGAGGTTTATAACTAAAGCTCAAGTTGTAGGCTAGAAGGGGACGAAGCTATTGAGTATATAAGAACAAGGGTGACAGAAAAATTTCAACAAAGAAGTGCTTTACGCACCACACTAGACAGGTGGCGCAATGGCTCCATTTTCGCAACGAGAGTGGGAGAGGGCTGACAAGACGGTTTCTAGTAGTACATCAACAGGCCCAGATGGCATTCTTGTTGTGCTGATAAAGACATTATGTCCGAAGTTTAAGCAGGCTTTGAGAGATGCAGTGAGCAAGATAATAATTGATGGTGAAGTCCCCGATGGATGGAAACTTAGCAGGATGAGCATGATCTATAAGGGAAAGGGGGACAAAGCAGACATAATAAACAACTACCGTCCTGTAACAATGACATCATTGGTGTACAGGCTGGCGATGCAGGTTATGAAGGAAAGACTGCAAGCATGGATAGAGGATGAGGGGGTGCTGGGGGAACGGCAGAATGGGTTAAGGAAACACATGAGGTTGGAAGACAATCTGTTCTCACTGACGCAATACATCGAAATAGCAGGAAAGGAACACATGCCTCTGTGGCGAGAAGTTTTGGATATCAAGGGAGCATACGATAGCTTGTGTGGAATACTAGACACACTAGGTGGGGAAGATAGAGTCAGTAATCTTTTAAAACATATCTATACAGGTAACAAGGCAGTCATAAAGTGGTAAAAACAAGTATCCAAGCTGACAGAAGTAAAACGGGCCTTACGGAGGGGTGTCCTCTGTCACTCTTGTTATTCATCATGTACTTACAAATATTAGAGGCCAAATTAAAGGGAAGTGGACTGGGCTTCACCCTCTCTTTTGTCAAACAAGGAAAATTCATTGAACAGGCACTACCAGCCATTATGTACGCAGATGATATAGTGCTAATGGCTGACAACAAGGAAGATTTGCAGAGATTGGTGGACATCTGCGGTAATGAGGGAGATAGGTTAGATTTCAGATTCAGTAAGGAAAAATCAGCAGTCATGATTTTTAATGACAATGAAGGTAGTGAGCTTAGAATACAGGAGGTAATTCTAGAGATCACATATAAATACAAATATCTGGGCGTATGGATAAATAATGGGGCCGAGTAACTAAAGGAACATTAAATATACAAGACGACTAAATGTAATAGGAATGCAGCGGCGATAAAAAACAGGGCACTGTGGAATTACAATAGGTATGAGGTTTTGGTAGGAATATGGAAACGGGTCACGTTTCCTGGTTTGACGTTCGGCAGTGGAGTCTTGTGCATGAGATCAGAAGTTCAAGCGAGATTAGAAATTAGGCAACGTGGAATAGGTAGACTTGCTTTAGGAGCTCACGGGAATACACCAAACCAGAGAGTACAAGGTGATATGGGATGGACATCGTTTGAGGGCAGGGAAGCAAGCAGCAAGATAAAATTTGAGAAACGATTGAGAGAAATGGGGGAGGAGTGTTGAGCTAGGAAGGTAATCAGCTACTTATGCATGGAGAATGTCGATGCAAAATGGAGGAAGCGAACCAGAAAATTTACTCGTAAATACTTAGAAATGAGCAGGGGGCCAAACAAGAAAGAATTATCGGTCAGAAGAAAGTGAAAGAAGTTGAGACCGATATGTGGAGAATCGGCATAATTAAAAAGTCCACACTAGAGATCCCTCAAACTTTTGAGCAAGAAATTGCCAATAAAAGGATCTATGATGATATTCAGGGTAGTTCTCTACTGTTGGAGGCCAGGACGGGAGTATTGCGAACCAAGACACATCGAGCCAAATACGAAGGGGTAGACACGCTATGCAGTGCGTGTGGAGAGGAAGAGGAAACTGCCGAACACTTGATTATGTTCTGTAAAGGGATTCACCCTATAGTTCAGGATGATGGCGCAGAGTTTTTCAAAGCACTTGGGTTTAGGCACAGCGAGGGCAAAATAGACTTTAAGTGGGTAGAACTAACTAGAAGGAGGTTATGTGATTTTTGACTAAAGTCAAGGCACGAGTGAAAACTGAACCCTTCATTGCAAAGTGCGAGTCCTCAACCTCACGATTTAAAGAGAAAAAATGAATCTAGTTTTTGGTTCATTAAGTATTGCGACTTGGTGGCGTTAGCCACCGCCCGATCTAAAGGGTACAGTCATATCAATCAATCCATCCATCCTCGTCAATTGGTTGCTGCGCCGGCACACCCGTTATCTCTCATTCTCCTGGATTCTCCTCGTACGTGTCGGATCATGCTTTATGGGTCGAGAGGCTCTCGCCAAGCCATCGCGGCGCCAGGTGGATCTAGAGACGGTGCCCGCCAAGGAAAAAAATCTGCGCAACGAGATGCAGATCCCCATAAGGTGTGCGCCAAGGAATCCGCTGCGAAACAGCCTCAACAAGAAGCTGACCCCAGAACGCGAGAAGCAGTGGCGGCGGAGCAGGCACAGCGCCGGGTGGATCCGGATGGCGCTCCTTGGAGGATTCACGGTATCACAAAAAACCCCTGGAATTTCGCCCACCTCATCATCATGCATTCCGTGGAGATGCTGGAATTTTCGGGTGGTGTTTGACGACGTACGCGAAGGGATAGTGACATTATCCATGTCATGTTCAGCGAGTCTTATTCTTCAAACCATTTTACCATCCCGTAGTAGTTTTGATTTACCCCAAGTTAAATGGTTGATTATGGGAGCACTGAGAAGTAGGCGACTAGATAGATAGATAGATAGATAGATAGATAGATAGATAGATAGATAGATAGATAGATAGATAGATAGATAGATAGATAGATAGATAGATAGATAGATAGATAGATAGATAGATAGATAGATAGATAGATAGATGCGCAAAGTGTCTAAAATAACCAAAGTATTTTCACGCATTTAAAACAGACACAGTCCCTGTTACAATGATGATCTGTACATGAAGATCGAACAGCATTTTTTTATTCTAGAATATGTAGTCCTACTGACTGTTTTGTGGCTCTTGTAATGATGCCACTGCTGTAAGTCGCAAGAGAGCCATCAACAGTTATGGCATTCTTCCGGAAAGAGGTAAGATCTGACCAGGGTGATCACTAGCTAAGCGCAGTTAAAGAGAGCGACAAGACAAAGGGTGACATTTTTTTTATTACTCGCAAGCCAGTCTCCATTTTTGGTACATATAACATATAGTAGTAGTGTGAAATGTTGTTGCAAAATTCAAATATTCTTACCCTTTTCCTTCAATTGATGACAGCATTCCACCTGCGGTGACAACCACATCTGGGTGTAGGACGTGGTATGTCTGGAACTGCTGCCCTCGACTTCAAAAGCAGGGTCCCGACAGCGTTCATAGTTGGCTTGTGGCAGGTAAGTTATATGCTTTGTATTACAGCGCAGCCAATTTATGGGAAGGTTATGCAACGAAGATGAAGCACTTTGTTCAGTTATTGCACCAGTAGCGAGCGAAAAAAAAGCACATGCAGTGAGATAAGGGCGGCAAATATTGTAAGGAGGCGAAAGAGTGGGGGGGGCGGGCTGAATTTAATTTTTACTATGGTACCACACCAAAGGGCTGACAGGCAAGTCTGACAAAACAAGAGCAGCGAATAAACAAATGCCGAAAGCAACAGAAGTAATTCCTAAACCAAAGACTTTGGAACACCAGTTTAAGCTTCCTGTTCTCAGAGTCAAATGCTCCATCAGTATTTAGGATTAAACTAACTCAACTCTATATTCAGAAGAAATGCCTTATTAGTTTTATAAATTAATAAAAAATTGAAGGTGCGAAATTTACTTGCCGTGGTGGCCTAGTAAGTATGCCAATCAGCTGCTTCGCTGGTCCCATGATTAAGTACGGGCCACGTCAGCCGCATTTTAGATGGAGACTGAAATGCTTAAGGTCCGTGGGCCTACTACATTTAGGTGCACGTTAAAACACCACAGCGGATCGCAATTTCCAGATTCTGCACTACAGTGGCGTTTTAATCATATTTTAGTGGCGTATATTCATATTTTGGTGGTATGCGCCACCGCTTTGAAGCCACCGGTGGCACATACCCACTCTAGACAGGCTATGTGCCATCGGTGGCTACGTGCTCCAACATCTATACATAAAAGGGACGGACAGACCTACGCATTAAGGAGCTTCGGCCCTAGAAAAGTGGCCTATTTCTGTTCCCACTCGAGACATAGCACGCTGGGTAAACAACGGATTGAACGCTACTGCGTGGCAGGAGTCATGGATGGGCCACTTCACGCGCCTCTCTTTACAAGATAAAAACAACATGTACGACGATTGGGTTGTGGCGCACTGCTCAAGCACACTGTAGCAACTGAGGCGTTGTTTTTTATTTAGCACTCATCCTATGTATACTGCTAGTTGTTCTTGAGAGTCCTTCTTTGTGTTCGATCAGTGAGCTAGAAGTGTTCTGTGACCATTTACGCTCGTCCAGTGTGTGTGTATCTTTTTGTGCGTTCTTAGCGCTTGAGCAGCACGCTGCAGGTATTGAGCGGCTAGCAGTTATTCCTGTGACATACTAGTTTTCTGCTATCACATTGACTGCTTCGCCATTTCGGCCAAACTGTGGCTTTTTTATCACCTTGAATAGTGCGTTTTATCTGTCTCGTTTTTACGTCCACGTGTGAGGAACCTGCAGACTGAGACTGCCAACACTATAAAGGGCCTTGACTGGAGGACGTCTACGTGCACTTAAACGGCGTGCAGACATTCACGTTGTTATATTTATACACGATAAGCCATGCAAACAACCTCAACTGCCTGGCATGAGAAGCTGGAGAGATTACTTGTCATTCTTTTGCTATGTGGTTCTGTATAAGAGTGACATTTTCAGCATGTTGAGCCGCTGTTAAGATAATGCGTTATAAAATGCTGTACCGTTGTTTTCAATGTCTGGCCTCATTGTTTTCTTTGTGCATGAAGTTATTGTTACGAAAAAATAATGAATGAATGCGTACCCCCCCGCCCCACCGAATAACAGCAACACACGCACATTGTTATGACAGCAAAGAAAATGCAAGCAAGAAAAGAGTAGAAAGACATTCAAAAATTCTAAAAAACTAACAAAAAGCTTCACTGTTAGTACACGACGACGTACGGATAGTCCTGTCCTTCGTGCCTTTTTGTGTGGTAACAAATTTTTTACCGTGTAATTTTTATCTACGTAACAATGACATAAAAATTTACTACATTTATTTGACATAACCGGCGCGTGAACTGTTTCCAGCTTGAAATTTGAAGGCTACAGGTGTGGACAGGTTTGGTGTTTTTTCACTCAAACCAAGGGTACATCAATGGCCATTATATCCCACGAGGACAGTATTCTAGATAACGACAATGTGTTGATAATGATTTGTTTGGTTGGAATGGTAGATATTCCTGGCTCATATCGGAAAAGCACAACAGCTGAAAATTTTCTCTTTTCGAACGAAATCTTAAGAAGAGACATCAGTCCTTTATTGGGACCGTCATTGCATTTGTATTGAGCAAGGGGCCACAGCTGAAAGTTAATCTGTATCTTGCTCACCGTTGTTCTCTGTTTGATGAAGTGCAGTTTTTCGCAGCGTTTGAGCCTTTTGGGCTGTTTGCACTGTTAGACATATTCTCTTGCGTTTATAAAGCATGAATAGCAGAGTGGCTTCGGCAAGAAAAGCATAAAATTTTCTCGTCATCGCTCCTTGATAAGTTCCCACTGATAGGTATTCAAAGAAATCCATGCCTTCAAATGGCTCTGAAATGTAAGTTTTCTCTTGAATGCAGTTGCGTGCGCAATGTCATCGTTCTTTGCACTGGCTGGCTGGCGTTCCCTTGGGTTCCTGTTCGTCGCTATACAAGAGACCTTCCAGGTCAACAGGACAGACGGCTCGTGGCCAATAGTTGTACTTGGCGCACTAGGTTACATGGCAGGTGAGAACGGCCCACACCACAATTATTGTCGGACTGTCAAAACCACTTCAATGGATGTTAGGCAGCCATCACTGCAACTACTGATGAGTTAACTACCTAGTAGTTCTATAATACACCACGCTGGTTGCTGAGTGTTGTTGCAGCACATTTGTGCACGTCTATTTGTGGGATGTCTACCTAAATATCGCAAACTATACAAATGCAGTAATGATAGAGCCAGTTGATGATTCTGAGCAATTTTAGGAGCAGCAAAGAACTAAATGTAAGTAAGTTTTTTTAGAAACAAAACTTTGGTGCGCGAGAACGGTAGACTTAACGCTTGCTTTTTCTAACACCATGCACAACACTTGCCTCACTACGGGTGGCGAACTTATTTATGGTGAAGTATGAAGCTGAGGTACAGTACTTTTGCGAAGCTAATTGCGATCGTAGGCGCTGCAGCGCATCAGGTCATTACCCAGACTAGCTCGTTTTCAGCATAATTTTGCCCACAATTATGCCACAATTGCGTCATTGGTGGCCCTTTTAAGATAGCATTCGGTTGCCCGCATAGTTATTTGCGTGCCCTATCAGGTAAAACAGTTGTTGAAGTGCTTGGCGGCTGAACGGAGGCCCATCGCTTCGATACCAGCTGTGGTGCTCGTATTTTGATGTAAGTTAAGTGTTCCAAGTTCGTTTTATGTGAGTTGGCAATATTTACTAAAACAAAAGCTATCAAAATTTTTGGAGCTCTCCACTGCAGCGTGCCTCATAATTATATTGTGGTTCTGATGCGTAAACGCTCTTATATTATTGTTTATGAGTATTTTCAGATTATCGCTATACAGCAGATAATGCGGGTGGTCGGAGACTGGTGTCGATATGGCATCTGGGGATAGAGCGGTAGATATTCGTCTAGATATCAGATAAGTAGCTGTGCACACTAGCATCATAGCCATCTACACGCACTAAATTACTGTTATTTATTATTGTGCGCATTCATAAGGCACATCAACTTTATTCACGCACGTTCATCATAATAAGTGGCCATCGTCCTCTTCTGTTCTGGGAACTTGGCTTGGCTTGGTTCTGTGCCTCGGGTGTTGTCGCTTCATCGTGTCTTCTGGGCATCATAAAGCTTACCTTCACCGTTGCATCACAAGTGGTGGAGTGTGCTCAGCGATTTTCCGTCCACTCGAAGCCTGCTCTGCCTCCTGGAGCTCCACTCAGGTCGTTGTCTGTGTCAGGTGTCCGGTAATATGCCTCAGGACTAGCCGACCGGCGCTCCTGTATCTACCTCCACGGCCCCGGCTACCGCGGCCTATCCATCGTGGATTATCACTGCGCACCAGTGAGATTCACCCACGTTCGCCGGACTTTGAGGTGATGATGTGGAAGATTGGTTGGACCAGTTCAATTGAGCGAGTTTCCCTAACAACTGGGATAATCCTGCCAAGCTTCGCCGTGTTTCTTTTTCTCTCACAGGTGTAGCGAAAACGCGGTTTTTCAATCATAAAACAGACATCACGGACTCGACACATTTCAAGCAACAATTTCGCCAAACTTTCGGCACCCAAGCGCTTCATTCAACCCTCGCGAAGAAGATACTAGACGCTCGCAAGCAACAACGTGGTGTGCATTACAACTCATACATAGAGGATGGGCTTGCTCTCGGTCACCATTTCAGCCCGTTCATGTGCGAATAAGGGATAATTTGTGATCTATTAAACGGGATCGGCAATGTTATGTTCAATGACTTGGACATACAAAACCCGACCGCAGTCACTGACGTTGTTGCTACGTGCCAATGCCTAGAGGAACTAGAGTCCTAACGGTTACCGTCAAGCAGCCCCGAAAACACCACCGCGACCGATCTCTCACTGCGTGCTAAGATCCCAGCGATTAAACGGGTAGAGCTGCAATCTTTCGGCATCTTAGTGACGCCGAGTCTACCTCCCCCCTCCAACACTCTTTCGCACAACGTTATCAAAAAGGAGATGGCGTCCATGACCGGGCCAGTGTATCTAGACTCTTCGTACCTCGACCCCAGCCGACATACGCACAAGTCCTCGCTGGTTCACCACCCAACCTACAACCGATGCCTGCACACTCGACGACTGTCCCTCTGGCTTCGATGACTCCGAGTGCGCCCAGCCAGCCCTTTCACCTACCATGGCAGCCACCTCGTCTGACCTGTTATTACTGCGGCTATCGAAGCCACGTAGCACGCTTCTGTCGGAAGCGTCAGCAGTTTGAGCGCCGTGGATTCGACCCCTACAAAAAGGATGATGAGAAAAGCGGGGACACTTTACAGCGCTGTCCTCATGATCCACCGCTACGTCGCTCCCCGTCGCCAACTGTGACATTCGAGCCAACCCCTCCTTACCACTCTACTAGATGCCACTCACCATCACCTCTCCAACGCCCTACGTTTTTATTGTGACCTGTCTCGCAATTCACCAAACAACACACGGAAAAGCTAACCTGTGCAGATTTTGTAAGAAAAGTCACATCAAACGAAAAGACAGAAATTTCTCTAGTGTGTTCATATAATACGATATCTGTGTAATAGAAGGTGTGTACATGTACGCTTCAGTAGACACTGGTGCTTGTTCCTCTGTGAATGATCGTTCCTTGTGCCCACGTCAGAGAAAAGTCACCACCTCATAGGATGGGCCTACGCTGCTCGCTGCTCAAATGGGCGCTATTAGACCTGCTGCTATGCGCAGCACTCGTGTTTTCATTTCTGGTTTGATTGATATGTGGGGTTTGACGTCCATAAACCACCACATGTTTCATTGCTGGTCTTATTCATTTTGTACGATTCGCCGTACTGAGTCCGTGTGCCAACCAGCTTGTATTAGGCTGGTATTTTCTGTCTATGGCGATGATTTCTGTCTGCTGTCACGAAAATGTTTTTCATATGATGAGAACTTACTATGCCCTTTATGGAGATGACAAGCCAGTTCGCTTGCTCGGTGTGGAAGATACCAAGCTACTACCTGGTCATCAGCGAATAATTACCATCACATCTAACGTGATCGACTCTGGCAACGTGTTTGTTCAACCATCTGCACGCTGTCTCGCAAGAGGTATAGCCATTGCTTCAGGTCTAGTGCGGTTCCACAATTGTTCCGGACTTCGCTACGCTACAAACCAGATGTCTCCGAAAATTGTCAATCCTAAAGACACCACAATGGCTTGCATTACCGAATTCCTGCCTGTCTCTGTTGTCCCGCTTATGCCAGCGTGTTCTTACCCTCCTTCTATTGGACGTTTATCATTCGTTTCTCCTCTTGCTGCGACTATTAGTCCAGAGCTGACCTATTCACAGACAGATTATTATTTTACCTTGGTGTAAAAGCATAACAGATTATTTGATGCCCATTCCTCATCTCTGGGACAGACGTTCAGTATCACGCATCGTATAGAGACCGATGGCACTTACATCGTACGCCGTCGACCATATCGCGTCTTTTTATCCGAGCGTGAGGTCATTGAAGAAAATGTCGCCAATCTGTTGCAACGGAACATCATACGTCCCTCCGCTAGTACCTGGTCATCTCCCGTTGTTTTAGTAAGGAAAAAAGAAGGCTCCGTGCGATTTTCCGTAGTCTACAGGGCACATTAAAGGCTACCCTCAAGAATGTTTACCCCATGCGGCGCATGGACAATGCTTTGGATTCACTGCATGGTGCCGAGTACTTCTCAAGTCTAGACCTGCGTTTGCGTTATTGGCAAATACCCATGCACAAGGATTACAAAAAAAAGACAGCGTTTTCAACACCAGATGGCCTGTACGATTTCAACGTCATGCTCATCGGCATTCGCAATGCTCCAGCAACATTAGAGTGAATGAGCAACGCAGTTTTACGAGGCTTGAAATGGAAGACTTGCTTGTGCTATTTCGCTAAGGCGCTTTATGTGTGTGTGTGTGTGTGTGTGTGAGTGTGCGTGTGTGCGTGTGCGCGTGTGCGTGCGCGTGCGTGCGTGCGTGTGTGTGTGTGTGTGTGTGTGTGTGTGTGTGTGTGTGTGTGTCAATATCGTGGTGCACTATACCCATACAACTTGGCGATTTAGACAATATCGTTATTTTCTTGCCATCCTTCCCTCAGCACTTGCAACTACTGGACGAAGTTCTCACGTGCCTTTCAAACACAGGCCTTCAGCTGAATACCAAGAAGTGCGGTTTTGCGAGCAAAACAATTAAAGTGTTAGGCCGCATCGTAAGCGAGGATGGTATTCGCCCCATCCAGACAAGATTTCCGCTACACAATACATCCCGCATCCTCAGAAAGCCAGAGATATGCGCAGTTTCCTCGGCCTCGCTTCTTATTTTCGCCGATTAACTCAAGACTTCACCTCAATAGCTTCGCCGTTGCACACGTTGCACGGATCAGGCGTCACCTTTGTGTAGTCTCCTGATTGTGAATCGGCGTTTGACTAACTGAACTGTGCACTCACATCCGAACGAGCCCTCAGTCATTTCGACAGAACCACGTCTGCGCTTTTGCATACGGACTCTAGTGGTCCTGGCATTGGTGCTATTCTTCTACAGCGAAACAAATCTTTACTTGAGAAGGGCATCGCATACGCAAGCCGTGCACTGACCACTGCCAAAAAGAGTTATAACATCACCGAACAGGCGTGCCTAGCGGTCGTATGGTCTATACAAAAGTTTCGACCTTATCTCCACGGCCGCCACTTTACTGTGGTTACAGACCATCACGCCTTGTGCTGGCTCTCGACACTCAAAAATTTGTCCGGCCACCTTCGTCGCGGGCATATTTCCTTACAAGAATATGACTCCAGTATTACATACAAGTCGGGGAAAGAACGTGAAGACGCGGGCGCGCTTTTACGTTGCCCGCTCCCTTCAGAACCACTTAGCAGACTCCTCACCGTTGCACACGAGGAGATTTCGGCCGTCCCTTCCTCACATGTTCTGTCCTTAGCTACACTGGACCCAACTCCTCCTAAGGAGTGTGGCTTGTTTTTATTCCACAAACATGCTGACCATT